AAGTTATTTTCAGTTTGCAATTACAGTTTCATAAAGAATTCTTGATGATTCAGTGATTTTGAATGTGTTTATTCGTTTAAGTGTACTATATATTGATTTCTTGATAAACGAAGGAATGTAATTTGAACATGGGTATTTTTTTTTTTAACGAATAAAGTTGTGGGGAATTTTTATAAAGAATTTCGTTATTTTGAATAATTTTTTGTAATTTTTTGTTACAATATAATATAAATAATATAAATAAGTGTCAATTGATTGGATCAATATTTTAAATATTTTGCGATATATATTGAAGTATATTGATAATATTTTTGAATTAAAATTTTGGCTTTTGAACAAAAATTGATATTAAACGCTCTGAAAGATTACCAATATTTTATGTATCAATTATTTAATATGAAGGGTTTTTAATGTTTTTAATTAAAACCTCAGTTTTAGCGGACATCGATTTGCATGGTCGGTGAATACGTTAGGCGATTATTAAATTAAAATTGTCAAGAATGAAAATGAAGGTCGTAGATTGTTGTGATTGAGGATTTGAAATGTTAGAGGTATATTATGTTTCGATTCAAAATATGCAAAAGGGATATAAAAGTCTTCTTTGTTTCGTAAAATATTTTCCTCGCGCACAATAACTCGTATTAATTCATCGAATATCATAATCTCCATTTAAATTTCATCACACACGATGAAATTTATGAATGAGAAAAATATCTTCTAAATATTTATATTTAATATTTAATAAACGTGTTCCATTAAGGGGAGATACACGATTTATTGTTAATTACACGAATATAATGTTAATTATACACGATGGAAAAGAAAATTAAAGAAAGTTAAAGTTGCATCGTTTACGCCATTAAAATAAAAAATTAGAAAAATTAGAAACTTTTATGATGGGACGAAAAATACTACAGGGATGTAAAATAGAGGAAGAAGTTTGACAGGATATCGGGAAATCCAATGCGGAGAACGCGTCCTCGATTTGGCTCGTGTTCCAACGCCAGTTGTCTGCCAGCCCACGTGAGAGTCAGTAGGTGGAAAACCGCTTCTTGCGGCCGCATTTTTAATCAGTATTCCGCGATTCCACGCTCGCGAACGTGTTATGTAATCGAGCCCCTGTAACCGTGATCTTGCATACATCCTGACGTTTTACCCACTGATCATTCCATCCACTGATCAACCGATGACGTTTTTTGTTCCCAGGTACCAGAATGAGCTTCCAAAGAAGATCAAGTCGCGCGGCAAGGACGCGCATCTCAATCACGAGGAACTGGTGCAAACGATGAAATGGAAACAAATAGTGAGTGAATTTTTATTTAATCAATATATTCTGTGTTTGTTTGTTTGTTTGTTTGTTTTTTTTATTTTTCTTTTGATTTCTGGGATTCAAAGAGATTGTATCCCGAATAATAATTAGAATTTATTATTTAATTTTGTAAAATGTAAAATTGAATATAAAATATTATTCGTATAATTTTTAATTTCTTCGATCACGTAACTTGTTAAAGATAGCACGATACGCCAAATTCATGATTACTCTTAACTAAAATGTGAATTAGATTTAAGTAACTTTCACTAAAGTCAATTGAAGTTTTACAAGTTTCAAAGTTTGTTTAAACGTACATTGTGCATAATGGAGCGATTTCCAACTTATCTTAATTCTATTTCTGCTTTTATAGAATAAATTTTGAAATTTTGATTCGTTCTTATCGATCATAACAAAATGAGAAGAATATTATAATATTAAATTAAATTATTGCAATTAATACAAAGAATTAATTCTCCCTTTCTTTTCTCCTCTCCTTTCAAAATATTAAAATATCAATTTATTTTTATATTTTCCTTTTAAGTAAAGTTAACAATTTTTCTAACGTCAAATTCTTTTTTATTATTTGCAGCGTGGGAAGTTTTATCCTCAACTGTCCTATTTAGTAAAAGTGAACACACCTCGCGCTGTGATGGCGGAAACGAAAAAGGCGTTCAAAAAACTTCCAAATCTCGAACAAGCGATTACTGCCCTCTCGAATTTAAAAGGAGTAGGTACCACGATGGCGTCGGCTCTATTAGCAGCAGCATCACCAGAGAATGCACCCTTCATGGCGGACGAATGTCTGATGGCAATACCGGAAATCGAGGGCATCGATTATACCACCAAGGAGTACCTCAATTTTGTTCAGCACATTCAAAATACCGTGGAGAGGCTGAACAAACAAAGTAAGTGTTTCTGTTAATATGTTTACTCAGTCACTGTCAACCGATCATTAAACAGAATTATCTTATGGGTTTACAACTACAACTTTTGTTTTGCAATTTATTATTTTGTGTCATTTTATATCATATTTTGTATCATGTTTATAAGAAGCTTGTAAATTGTATTACAAATTTTTTATGAATCTTATAAACATAATTATAACTCTTACGTGAAAGAGAAAAAAAGAAGGAGATACATTATTCAAATGTAAATTATCAAAGTTGAATAATTATAGGTATTAGTTTACAAGATTTTATTATTAAAATTTATTCATTGATTCACGTGTGAAAGTTCATTCAGATTATTCGTATTGAATTAAAATCAATTTTTCATTCTAATTTGAAATATTCTTTTTTTTTTCTTTTCTCTCTCTCTCTCTCTCTCTCTATATATA